GGGGGGGGGGGGGGGGGTGCTGCTGCTTGCTATGGCCGGGGCGTGGTGGCAACGCCCGGAAAGGCCAAGGAAAAAGTTTAATAACAAAATTTGTTTTTTAGGCCTGCATGGCGAGATCTGAGACCATAATATTGGTAATTTTACAAATTTAGTAGTAAGAATAATCAAATATGAGACTATCAAATCAAAATATATAATATATATAATTTGCAGGGGTGCAAAAACTTTTGGGGGCGGTGCCAAATGCCCCTGGGGGGGGGGTGCCAGAAAATCCGTGCCTGCCGGGAGATCCTCTATAAGGTGAGCCTGAGAGTGTTATATTTGCAATGAGTACCTAGAATTAATTGACTTAATTGCTCTAGCACTAAACTTACCAGTGTTTAGATATTTGCAATGGACATAAGGCAACAATGATCGACCACCACATAAGAACAGACCAGGTCTTGCTAACTTTGCCAGATTTAAAGCCATACTACAGCCTGAACTGTGTAAATTCTACAACTGTGAATTGAGCAATGCAGATGTGACTGATGAAATCACACGTGCAAAATATTCATTCTACACGAAGTACTTTCGAAGAAACCTCGAACAATTTGAGTATATAATAGTGCAGGCGCAATAAAAATGTTTTAGGAATTTATGGCATTTTAACTTGTTTTAGTGTTCTATAATCAATTTAGTGCTATCAAACAGGTCATTTGAAACACTTTTCCGACATAAATACTCAGATATTCGCAGATAAACGCGTAATGCATCTATGAATCAGATTCCAATAGTTGTGAACATTGTGGAAAATTCAAGGATGGAAATACTTTCAAATAAAGTGGAAGCACTGTGTTTTTTTTTCATGAATATTTATCTTGATCTGTTTTCGAAGTATATTTTTAAAATATCACAGAGGTATTATATTGTGACTGAAAAAAACTGGAATTTTCTTTACAAAATAATTGTGAAAATGACTCGCCATGGCAAGAATTGCACAGCTGGTGCTGTATACACTTATCATGAACGCAAGAAAGATGCGGAACAGTCCGGATTTGGCAGTAAAAATGTCCGCCTTGGTAAAGACTCCGTGAAGGATTTCGACTGCTGTTCCTTGACTTTACAGCCGTGTAGAGAGCCCGTGATTACACCAGATGGATATCTCTACGATAAGGAATCTATACTAGAGTCTCTCTTGCATCAGAAAAAAGAGATGGCGAGAAAAACTAAAGCATTTGAGAAACAAAAACGCAGAGAAGAGCAGGAGAAACATGAACTTAAGGTGGCTATGGAGAGATCTAAAGTTGAACGTTTTGAAAAGTTGGAAAAAAGGTTGACAACCAAACCACACGATGCTTTTAATACTAGTAAGAAAGATGAACCGTCTACCTCAACTGCTAATAACACAAAAGGTATGTCAAAGGGTATATAATTATAAACAATGCCAAACAAATGTGGTCTTGTAGTCAATATATACTAAAATGCATGGCTTCAATCTTCCCGTTACCATTTTCCCCTGGCAACCCTCGTTTTGCCGACCTTAATTCAGCCAAAGTAAGAATTTTTTGCTGCTGATAGCTGTTAAAAAGTCAGCGATTATAGAATTCAATTTGTAGTTCGATTAACTAAACACTTAGGTGTAAGGTTTAAAATTGACGGGTATTTTATATATATAATTTAGGTAAGACTCCAAAAGGAAAGCTGTTGTGTTACTGTAGTTTGCGTTTCCGCGGAAAAAGACATGTTTTATATTCCTATTTCAATGATTTGCAAATACGTCATTACTAGTGCTCCAAGACATGTGAACAGAATTTTTAAAAAATGCCGAGACGTGCCAACCTAGCCTCAGATTGGGTCATTCCAGAAAAGATCCATACCCCCCCCCCCACGGAGGAAATCGGAAGTAAGCCCCTCCCCCCCTTCGGACATCCTTGAATGGTTCATCCTCCCCCCTCTCCAGACATCAAAGCCCAAAATTACCCCCCTCCCCTTCGGACATCCACTATTTCTAAATTTTTCTAAAGGCTACCTCGCCATTTGAAAACGTCACCGAAAATTAGACTACGTTCACACTACGCGCGAGCGAACTAATGCGGGCAGAATTTATGTGTGTTCACACTACCGCCATTACAGTTTGTTTACAAATTGAATTAGCACTTGTGTAAACCCAAAATATTTCAAATAGACCCAAGAAATTTAACTGAAAAGCATTCGAGTTTACATGTTTGTGTTCACACGAAGCTATCAAGCGCTCCGCCGTTTTCACCTCGCTCCGTTTAGAAACCGTGCTCAAATTGTTACGCAAAAGTGACGTGAAACGAGCACACAACACGTGGCAGGTTTTGTCGGATAATTTGCAGAAATTCACTTCGAAATTTGTTCAAGTAAAACTCGGACTGAAATCTGATGTAACTTGCGACTGATTGACAAGCGTTGCTATGTTTACTTACATGTTAATGCATTTTTTAGTATTACTGCATTCCTTAACCTCGCCCTTAATATGAAAGCCAAATGTTCTATTTTCTAGACACGCACCTCGCCAGTAAGCTTTATTGACTATATTCTATTAAAACAAATTGTTTTGAGTTCTGTTCAGTTCACATAGCAGTCTCTTAATTTGAGCAACAGTTTAATAACTATTATTTTTAACACTTGAATAATTCAAACTTATATATATGAACGAAAACTGCAAACTTTACTTTTATATAAATAACATGTGTCAATTTTCGACTCATTCTCAACATGCAGGATACGTAGCCCTGTTACAGCGAGTTAGTTTTTGGTGGCCATGCATGCAAAAGTGGGCCGCTTATATAATTATTGCTGTTACATAAACGTTCCGGTGTTCAAGAGCTACATATAGCCGATAAAAATTGCGTGCTCATTATAATCGCTGATCACATATTAGCTTTATCACAGTCTCAAACCTTCAGACAAACATATCCACATTCCTCTCCTCCCCCCTTCGGACATCCTAACACATTTTTCCTCTCCCCCCCTTCGGACATCCTAAGACATTTTTCCTCCCTCCCCCTTCGGACAGCAAAAATTTCCTCCATGGGGGGGGTATGGATCTTTTCTGGAACGACCCATTTAGGTCACCATTTTTTTGATGACCTTAATTTTGACGGTTTTTGAGGGCTGCCTGGGCAACCCCTGGGGAAATGTACATCCAAAGTTGTTCAGCATCTGATCCACGAGGTAAAACCACCGCCTACTTTGTTTAATACTTGAAATATCAATTCTGCTCTCCTTCCCCCACTCTGATCGAGCTTTCAAACAAAACTATTTTTGCTCAACTTGGTCTACTTTATAGCCCGGTTGTTTTCGAAAACAACATACTTTTTCATAAAACTGAGAATGAAAGTAGTGATACATTATAGCTAATTTGGTTACATAGCTCAGTTGTGTTGCTATCTAATCAATATACACTTATGTCTACTAGTTAATTTGGATGACTGTAAGACTCCCTATACCGCTCCCCACAGCCGCCTACTTTGTCAACACAGCCACCAATTCAGAATAATTCTGAAAGCCCTGGTGGCAGACACTATGGGCGTCAGGGGTGGGGCAGATACACTAATTTCGAAAGACCTATAAACGTCTGTCAGAAACATAGTGGCAAGCATGCAATCACATCCATATGATATAATTGTCTGCTACAGTCTAATTATTCGCATTAAACAATCTTCCCGAATCCGTCACTAATATGTCATATAATAATAATATTCCTATGGTCGAACATATAATAACAACATATAAGTTGATTTGTATGTTTTTCAGTTTATTTATTTAAGTTCTATTATTAGCTTATATAAAAGCAATTATTAGCTTATATAAAAGCACCGCCTTTCGAACCTGACAGCCTGTTCGCAGGATATGCGCGGGATTTGAAATAGGGGGCGGCAACAATATTTCTTATTTCAGTGCGAAATAACGCGTGTATATCCTGCGAACGGGCTGTCAGGTTCGAAAGGCGGTGCTTTTATATAAGCTGATAATAGATCTTAAATAAATAAACTGAAAAACATACAAATACAAATCAACTTATATGTTGTTATTATATGTTCGACTATAGGAGTATTATTATTATATGACATATTAGTGTAATTTAGTGTTATAATTCAGTTAAAAGGCAATATAAAGACACTAAAATAAATAAAATGAAAAACATACAACACTAACACAGATCAACGCTTGGGCTCCCTGTGGATTAACCCAAATGTTGAGTGACAGCGCTCTCGCCATGACGAGCAAAACGTCTGCCGTTAGACGGAGTGGACAGTTTATTTGTTATACTATTAATAATTGCAGTTGGGAAAGAACTACCAAGTTTCTGGATTCCATCCCTTACACCTCAAGCAAAACCAGATGAAGCCAAGAAACCGGATACTAAAACAAGATGTCCAATGTCTGGCAAACCATTACGAATCAAAGATCTTATACCAGTCAAATTCACTGTCGCTGCTGGTGATGATAAATCGCTCATCACCCGTGAGGTTCGTTACAAGTGTGCTGTTACCCATGATGCTCTGGGAAACTCGGTTCCTTGTGCTGTACTCGCGAACACTGGAAATGTAGTGACAATGGACTGTGTTGAGAAGTTGATTAAAAAGGACATGTTATGTCCTTTCACTAGTGAGAAATTAAAAGAAAGTGACATCGTTGCAATCCAAAGAGGGGGAACTGGTTTTTCTGGTTCTGGAGTGGAACTTAGTGCAAAGAAAGATGGACCAGCCATGCAGGTCTGATTCATAGATATCTTATATACACTAGACAGTGCATCTCAGTCTTTTAGTAAAATTGAAGCCAAGAATATTCCAGCGGTTACCCCCATTTGAATAGATGGCGGCCATGTTGGAGTTTCCCACTCGCTAATAAACGCTTAAAAAACAACAAGAACTTTCATCATTTGAATAGTTTGAAAATGTATTTGGAATAGGTTTAACTGGATGTTTAAATTTTTGAATTGCAGTATTATTAGATGCACTCCCTGGTGTATATAAGATATCTATGGTCGCTAGAGGTCTGACACACCGCAGAAATAAGTCAATACTGAATTTTTGTGTGCTCCTTTATTTGCGATATACATTATTCATTAAAACACAGTACATCATACTGATTGTACGAATTACATTGGTTGACATATATATTCAATTATTTGAATCGTTTTACATGTAATTACTTGAATCATATTAAGAATCATTCTTCAGAATTTGAAATAAACTCTATTTGTGACTGTTATATGGTCACTTTTACACTAAATTATCAATTGTCAATTATACATTATACGCAGCTCAATTCAAAAAACGAACGATGCACCTAAAAAGAAACAAATCATACTGTAGACAATTACAATGTCTATTGTTTATCCAATCTCGTTCCCCGAGCCTGCGATCCTCGTGAAGGAACTTGAGGCTCTGGGATAATCCGTTTCAGGGAGGAATCTGATTGGCCGTTGATATGGAATGCGCAGTTCAGTCTTAGCCAGGATTCCTAGCTTCCAGCAACGGATTATCCCAGAGCCTCACGTGCCTTCCCGAGGATCGCAGGCTCGGGTAACGAGATTGTTGTCTATCAGGCGTAACTCCTCCTCAGGCCCTCCCCTTTCTTAATATCGGTGACGGTGGCCCTGACTTTCATGAGATTAAGACTCTATTTACACGATACCGGATTCGGTTGCCACGACATCAACATATGTCGTTCGTATGTCTGCCCACAAATTTTCCCCCTTTGAAAATTCTGCAAAGCAACGGTACATCCGTACATGTTTATACTATGTTTACTTGTTATGGGTTTTTTGGTTGCAATGGTTTTTCACCCAAAATTTATAATATTTTTGCGGAAAATCCCCTTGGTAGTACAAAGGCATTCTCCCTCCTGAAATGTGCATAATCTTTGCTCGATCCATACCCCCGAAACGTTTTTTGAGCATTGAGTATTGGCGATATCTGAGGAGTGAACGTGCTGGTAAATCCAGACTTGGCACCCTGATCGCCATATTGAATTTAAGCGCGCCGGAGCATACGAGTTTTGTTTCACATATTATGTACATGCAGCTGCAGCGTGGAAAATATTTTAACAAAAATATCCGCCCCATTGAAAAACACGCTACAGAGGTGCCTAACCGAAAAGAAACGCCGAAAATTAGTCAGGTGATTACCTTGCATTCATTCGGTGTTGTCTTCAACTTGAAGTTTATACACGTAGTTTGTGTTCTGTCCTCCACTACAAGTGCTTGATGAACATGGTGTGGTCGCGTTGTGGTAACATTCTTCACTTGTACCATGCATGTCATACATTGTGTCCGCAGAAGCACTGCTGTAGCACTGACCTTTGAAAAACAGGTAAAATATAGTACAGTTTATTACAGAGCCATCCTCAGAGAAACATTAGAGAATGTTTCCAACATGATTTGTTGCACGCCGAAGTCAACTGTAAAAGTTGACAGGCTCTATAGCTATGTCGCTGCTGTCGAGGCAACAGGTATTGGAGGCGAATGTTTTCTATTTGAAGCGCTCGAAGTTTGCAATGATTGTCAGGGTTTCCAAAAGGGCCTTAAAGCCTTATATTTTCCAACTAGCATGGGCAACCTTCCTGAAATCACTATGCTGTACACTCGTATAGCATTACATTAATAAAGGAGTCATTGATATACGCTCCCAGTTATAGTCCTATGCTGCAAAAGCAGTAAAACAGAACTGCGTTTTTGGAATCTGAAAACCACAGGATGAAGTTAGTACCATGTCTCCGTTTCAGATATACAGCCGGTTTGATTTTCTGGTGATACCCTGTGTCAGATTAGTTTCAGGCGTTTTAGCTATATTTGTAGCTTACTTCATATAAGCGCGAATTCTACGATTGTGGCGCTTTTAGAGCTGGCAAAACGGATGTTTGTAACTGAAATATGACGAATTATTGAAGGCAAAACAATGGAAACTTAATTTCCATCCCCCAACTCCAACGCATTTTTCTTAAATAATTCTAACATAACATTAATCCCAACTCAAACTGTTATTCCTGCTCCCACTATAATTGAAATTTGAGGCAATATTAGGGAAATTTATCTTTGGATGTTGAAGCACTGACTAAACAAAATGGCGTCCGGTTGTTAGGAAAAATTTGAAAAAAGTTTAAAAAAAAGTAGTTAAAACCGACCTACCCTACCTAAGTTTTTATAAGAAGAAACCGGAAACCCACATATTTTTTTTTTGGCCTTATTTACTATGCTTAGTTAATAATATCTTTCTTAAAAAAATGAAATCTTTCCCTCACAAGACTTCCACCATTATCATGCAGCATGCATGCACTTACCTCCATTATTGATGGCGAAAGTAGTATAACCTTTCTCCTTGATTTTCCTCGCACAACGACATATCAGTCCCTTCATATATTCCTCCCAGTCAGTAAATTCTGTTGACATATAGCCCATGAACTCTGAGCTTATTGGGTTAATATCATCCAGGATCAGTTCATTAAGGGCTCGTTCAGAAGGTGGTTCACTGTAACAGCCAACTGCTTGGTAAGGTATCTCACATACATCTGTCGAGAAAGGTTTTAACAAAATTTACGTTTGATAAATAGAAGAACACCAGGCGCCGGTTGTATAAAAAAGTGATTAAAGTTAACTATAGTTAGTGGAAACGTCATCCAATAAGAAGCACGTATTTGAGAGTTAATCACCATTTAACTACAAAATAGTGATTAAAAAGTGATGAAAGGTTTTGTACAACCGGCCCCAGTATTTGACAGGCCTCGGCAACAATCAACGGAGCTTTAGATTCTTGAGGACACTGCATGGGGACACTGTACTATTGAATTTTCACTTGCGATTTGGCCAACGATAAATGAAGTATAGCCCAAAACGTTCCGTTATCTGTATCAGGTGACTGCATGGTGAGTGGTATAACACGATTACTACACGTTGGTTTATATGCCCTATATGTATTTCTAAGTCATCGAAATTATCAGTAAATTAGTTCAAAAAACTATGTTTCCCCCTTTGATGTACATAACGGCAGAAACCGAACGTTCAATGAACGTTTATTCAAATAGCCATGCATTTTGTTCAATCCCTAGCTTTGCATATGCAGCAAACACTACTGAAAGTCGAAAATGCACAAATCACAATATACCTGTTGTAGCATTTATAACACGATAAACAAAATTTGTAAATCCCGTTCCAGTACAAAATGGATCATAATTATGGCATTGTTCATAACATTTGTTCACGCATGTTGTGGCTTTTCCATCTCTATAATACGTCACATCGCCTTCCTCTCCTGACCAACATTCTCCTGGAAATGTGTTAGATTTCGAATGTAATTTCATTTAACTAACTATATTATTGGTAGACTAACTAGCACACACTAACTAACTAAATACCTGTTGATAATCAATCCCTGTAGATAAACTAACTATTCAACAAACTCTGTAGTCTGTAGGTAACCTAACTATATCCATCAATCACTGCAGATAAACTAACTATCCAACAAACTTAGTGACTATCATTTATCGCTAAAATTATGCTTGCATGCTTGATCTAAATCGCTCAACACATCACCTTTCAAGCGCGCTACAACAACGCGCTAAGCAGTGAAAAGTCGAATGAATACGCGGCATTAATATAATTTTTATCTGTCAACGAGAGCCAGCATGGCAAACGTTGCTTTCTTGAATGTCACCACGACGTGAAAAGCTATTCAGTAGATAGCTTAAGATCTACGACGTCGACGTCAGCTAGGACTGTACGTAATGATTAATGAATTATGTAAATATGACGTAGAAATAATTCATGATGTAAATATGACGTAGATGCAAATTAATTCGGTTGCCATAAAAAGGGGCAACCATGTGCTAATATCAGAGAGAGCCATAAAAGCTTAACGAAGAGAAGTGGCACATGGTAGAAGTGGTACTTTGGGTGGTGAATTGAAAGTCAAAAGGACGTGAGAAGTTGCAATTGTTGAAGTCGCAAGTAAATGATCTTCGGTGATCGTACTAAAGGGCAGCGAATGGTGGTGTCTTCGATGACAACCAGTGCTCTGATGAATGCGAAGTTCAATGTATGGTAACTCAACCGTGATTTGAAGTTGAGCTTGACCACCGTCAAAGATAACTACGAAGTCTACGAAAGATTAGATAACTGTACACCTATTCGCCGAGAAAGAAGTGCGGAAGTGCTGTGAAATCTTCATTCGAACTGGCTCGTATGTATTAGTAGATAATTATAGTCATCGTTGTTCAATTCTTTAAACAGTGAAGTAATAAAGTTTTCTTAAAATAAACATTGCTTGTGTGCCGGCGCTCACGTCGACGAATTGAGAAAAAATTCGTCACAAGGACGTCAGGGCTAAGCAGAGGACTGGGACTAGGACGTCGTCCTAAATATAAATAAACTTCCACTTTAGATTCACGACATCGACATTTAAACTATAAATATTTACATTCTTTTGAAAATGATTTTTAAAGAGACACATGAATTCATTACCGCTATGCTCTTGTATCCACGACGGTAAAATGAGGTTGTCGACGTTTGGTGGACGACGAGCAAATTGAGAGAGACACATGCATACTTTAAAAACTATTACCAATTTATTTCCGCTTGCCGTCCTAAATATTTGACGTCGTAGATATTGAGCTATCTATTTATTTAGGACAACATCCTAGTCCCAGTCCTCTGCTTAGCCCTGACGTCCTAGCTGACGTCGACGTCGTAGATCTTAAGCTATTTATTAATATTGTTCAACAACTCTTCTCACTTCGTCTAAGACGATCCTATTTTTCGCTTGATTCGGGCATAGCAGAACCCCTGATGTAAATTTTTTTTCGCCACTAATCGCTCATTAGGCTACGATGTTTCTTTCACCGAGCATGGTTCATGTTCAGAAATGTCGGTATATCTTACCATAATACTGGACACCAAAAGTATTCCATCCTTTCTCGACAGTCTTCATTGCACACCGGCATGCGAGGTCGGGCAGGTAGGTATCAAAGTTATTCCAGTCAATACTTCTACCACTGGATACAGGATGCGTACTATCTCGATCTGTCAGAATGTATTCATTCAATGGGCGCATCAAAGGTTGGTGTCTGTCTTTATAGCAACCCAGACGCTCAAATTTCACTGGACAAATTTCTGAAACGCAGCGAATATTTATAATTGAATGCAATCTATATTGATGTTATTTCTCATATATATATATATATATATATATATATATATATATATATATATATATATATATATATATATATATATATATATATATATATATATATATAATCTTATCGAGGTATAGTTATACGTTCGTTTTAAATCGTATTTTATGCGTATTGCAGCAAAATTGTTATTTGTTATGTAATATTTCAAATCCGAGTTGGTGTTTTAGACGTCATGGTTTCTAAATACTTGTGCCATGCATGAACAATGGCGAGGCGCAGCCGAGCCATTGTTCATGGCACTGGGAATTTGGGACTATAACGAGGATTTGAAATTGCTTCTCACACATCATTAGATTTTCATAGCAATGAGGCATGAAATTATTAGATTTTCAAAAAAGTGAGCGGGGGATATTGACGATTACATTCGCTTGAAAGTTTGCATGAAGTGTAACGAAACGTTCAGTTCGCTTTCGTCGTGAATAGATGAATTTTATTGGAAAAAGAGCATGGCATCTTCTTATAATATAAGAAAAAGCGGTTTCGAGAACCAGAATTCGAAAGTGTTGAGCATACAGTATTGGAAATGTAACTAGAAAGCCACTCGCTAATAAGGATGGAGATCCGAAAAAACGATATATCAGACTGTGTGTGCGATAAGGCGCTATCTAGTGGAAAATGGAAGAGCAGAAGTGAATATATATTAGACGGTAAACATTACTAGTAAGTTACTGTATTATTGCTGCAGTGTTTAAAGCGCTGTTTATCATGATAGTTGGTAAAAAATCGTAATTTTCCTATTTATGTAGTTTTCAAACGTTCAGAAAAAGTGTTACATGTAAAGTAACATCTAAATACAGCTTATTGTATTTAGAAATAATTCTAAACATAGCAGTTAAATATATTTACATAACCTTTTGTTTACCCCTCAATTTCCCTATTGTTCAAAGCTCTTCCCACTTGAAGTAAAGTCCTGGTCTAGACGGGGTATCCAGATAGATACACGTGATGTAAATTACACCATGTCATTGGCCGAAATGCTATGAATATCTAATAATGTGTGAGAAATACAATTCAGTTTGCTGGTACATTTCTCATTATGTATAAATGTTTCAAAACCTTATTAATTCATGAGAAAAACACAAAGAAAAATTATAAGCGTGTCGTAACTTTATGTGCATGTGATAGAGATTTCCCTTAATTTACATAAACTTTAACTTTGATTTTCTCGACTAACACAACGTATTTTTTGAAAATTACTTCGCCAATGAACTTACTACATCGCAAGGGTGAGTTGACTACAAAATTTTTGTAGTTAACTACAGTAGTTCGCTATATAACTACAGCTACTGCATAATATGTAGTCAGCTACAACTAGCTGCTGCTACTTTTGAACAAAGATAGTTCGCTACTGACTACAGCTACTGCTTAAAAAATGTAGCGAACTATTTCGCTATTTCGCTAATCTGTATATTTTTAGTTTTACTGTATTTGGAGCATCTATACTATTAACTCAGGCTGTAATGTAACCTATAACAAATCGACTTGACGAGTAGCAACAGGCAACAGTAAACACAAAGCAACATTTTTGTAAGCACTACAGTGTTCAGGGGTGCAAATTGACTATTGAGGATTGATTTTAAGCAGACCGTGTCTCAATATCATGCTATTCTATCAAGTTGCTAACAATATTAAAAAGTAGCGAATATAGCGATTCGCCGTTTGAAAAGTAGCCAGCTACTTGACTACTTTTAGGCAAAATGTAGTTCGCTATAGCCTAACTATACAGCTACTGTTTTAAAAAAGTAGTCAAAAACTACTGGCTACTTGAAAATTGTAGTTCGCTACAGTAGCGAACTACAACTACTTCGTTACTACCACCCTTGCTACTTACCACCCTTACTACCCACCCTTGCTATACATCGATATAGTTACTACATCGAAGCAATTCTTACACACATCGAAGCATCGAACTTACTACATCGAAGCAATTCATAACTTCGCAGTGCGTGTTTAGTTAGACCTAAAGATACTCGGCTTCGTCTCGTATATTTATATCTGAGAAAACACTGCATGTTTTAAATAGTACATCAAATTTTATCCACTCACGTATTTCATAGACGAAGTTATGATGGTTATCTCCATCACAATTTTTAGATACATTTTTTATACCCAGGTCCATAGCATGCTTCCCCAGAGCCATGTTTCTCAAATTCAGTATTCGCTGCCGGAGATGGTCCACTCCAGCATTCGCCTGAAAAAAGAAAAGGACACAATAGGTCTATTTAAACCAGATCAGCGAGCGAAACATGATTGATATACCTGGTTGTAGTGAACGAACAAACTTTATAAATATATACTAAGAAGTTGTTTAAACTAAAATGACAAAATGTTAACCTACCCCAAAATTGAAGCCCAAAATATTTGTATCCTTTTTTCATGGCAGCCTGAGCACAGCGACATGTGAATGCAGGTAAATATTCATCCCAGTTCTTCCAGTCAACATCGATATTATTGTAATAATTACTGTATCTATCTCTCTCATTAATCAACATCTCAGGTAAAGCTCGGTCATGACGCTCGTCTTTTCGACAACCTACTGCTTTGAATTGGATACCGCATCCACAGATTGATTCAACTGTATGAAAGAAATTGAATTGAATCTTTTAATATATCTATAGTCGTATACGATTCTACTAATTTGCATGGGGTATGAGAAAATGCCTGCGCACTCTAGCCTCCTTCAATGGCAACTTCGTTAAATCCCGGTATAAATTGCGGTAAATCTCGGTCAAATACTCAACTTTCAACCCTGCAGAAGGCACGGAGTTGCCTGCGGTAGACTTGCTCCAAGTCTCTCTTTCATTGTCATATCGATCCACTATAGTGTACATTACATGACGAAGAACGGAGAGGCGGAGCGAGAAAGAGAGACTTGTCAACTTCGGAAAATCTCGGTTCAAAACTGAATCGAAAATGCAAGACTTGCTTTAATTGTTTTCCTCAAATTTCTTTCTGTATTATTTACTTTTATGGAACTCATGTTATTTACACTGCGCTAGACCAATACATATAAACACTGACAGAAAACAATTAAAGCAAGTCTTGCATTTTCGGTTCAGTTTTGAACCGAGATTTTCCGAAGTTGACAAGTCTCTCTTTCTCGCTCCGCCCCTCCGTACTACGTCATGTAATGTACACTACAGTGGATGGATACTATATCACAATGAAAGAGAGACTTGGAGCAAGTCTATGCCTGCGGGGGAGCAGGGACGTCGGAAACAATGTGAAGCGGCAGGGGCGCCGCCATTTAATAATATCTGAGCGGCAATATTCATTAACACTTTGCTGTAACGATACTTGATCACTTGTAGCCAGTAAAGTTAGACAATTTCGGCATTTATTTGGACATTTTTATTCGTTGTATGACGTTTAAGACTAAAATGTATTTTAAATGCAGAACATGACACTTTTTCAATTATTAGGAAGGCTTTTTACTATTTTTAGAAACCTTGAAATCATGCCCCATGCACTTTCCCTAATGTTTTACTTTACAAACCTGGAACTACAACCGCAGCCAGGAATATCAAGCATGACAGCACACAATATCTCATCTTCAATAAGTATATAACCACGATTTCATTCAATATATCTGAAACGGCAAAAGATGATTGTATCAGTAAATCGCCGCATGTTGGGTTTTCTGTGAATCTGGTACTTGCAATTTTGCATATGGAATCTTGAATTCTGTTTTAAACCGACCGCAAATGACATATTCATAATTTGTAAATATTATAATGTTCATTTCAAATTTGATTAAATTGATTAAATATTTACCAAGTGGACTTTTATTTATTTTTGAAATATATCAGCATGAATTTCAAATAGCATTGGTTCCTGAGCGGTCGGTAACGTGAAGTGTCGTCGACTGCTAAGATGGCCCTCTCGCGAAGAAAAACTTATTAAAAAAAAAACAACATAAATATGTGTCTTCAATTATGGTAAGTTTTTTATATGAAATACCTTTATACTGTGAATTAATTCGTTTGTCAACCAAAAATGAACAAAAAGTATACAAAGGAAAAATAACCTAGACTAACATTCTCCAGGTTTCATTTTGGAACGAACATGCGAACTCCGTCAATGACATCTACTTCTGTAATATGGATCACTTCAAAATAGACCCATTGCACATGACGTCACAGCGCCGGTGACGATGCATCTGGAGGACAAATTAGCAATCTATGCATAATATAACTTTTGTAAACAAAGCAAATTTTGTAAAGCTTTATAATAATTTTGTATTAAAATGGTTAATTTTTGCGCTGTATGTGGTTGTTGTACCCGAACAGATATTGTTAGGGAGCATCTGGAGGACACTCTAAGGATTTGTGACGTCAGTGCAATGGGTCTATACAGTACTAGTAATATGGATCACTTTAAAATAAACTATTATGGTATTGTAATACGGATCACTTCAAAATTCTGGATCAACGCCATCGCTATACGTTGTCCTTTGCAAACCTTAAACTCTAAACCTTAAACCTTGAACTCTAGGCGCGCAAAGCTTAATGGGAGCACAAGTTTCAAGCTTAGTAGTTGAATATTGCAGCTATTTGTGAATGAATTGTTCTCGTAAGAAGATATTTGTCTCATGTCTCCAAGGAATGAGTCCCATATATGATTTCTAAACTGATTAAATGATGCTCCCATTATGCTTTGCACGCTTAGAGATTAAGGTTTAAAGTTTAGAGTTTAAGGTTTGCAAAGAACAACCTTTTCTGAATTAGTTGTATATGAAAGCCAATAAATGAAACAGTACTACATAAACGGTTGTGGCCAAACAGTACTATAATATATAAGCGGTTATAGTTTTGTTAAAAAAAAACACTACAGTACTGCTGCATGCCCCCAGTCTCGCTGTTGCTACGGCCCTGGATTTACGATTTGCAAATTGTTATCCATGTAAATGCAATGGTTTCGTAAATCACTTTATACTGACAACAAAATTCTATAATATTTTCTCTGTTTAACAACTAAAATTTCGTTATAATAATATATTATTGCCGGAATTTTCCGAATCGCCAACCCGATTTTCCGAAT